CACTTGCCTTGTTTGCCATCTACCTTCCATGCTGAGCTTTACAGAATTATTTCACCCAATGAATGAACAAATGTTTTATTCTCTGCTTACTGATGTGGACAGTAATCCCTTAGCCACTTAGTCATTTTTTTTATACACTGTAATTTTCAATTAAAGTATCTTTGGTGGCCAACCCCCTGTATAAGGTTTTTGAGCCCTGTGTGCATGTTTGTGTAAAGCACAGAGTTACCCAATACCTCTAACCACAGCCTCTCTCTTTGCTGCCAGTTCTGTGAGCTTTGTTTCTCAGCCATTGCCTCTTGTCTTGACACTGGGGCAGTGACCACCTGCTTGGCCATGGGGGGACGGTTCCATTGAGATCTAAGTGCTCTTAATTTTACCCATTTGATAGCAGACCTTTAATTTAATACCAAAGACTGTCTTTTTTTTGGGGGGAGTGGCAGAATTATTTATTTATTTGTTTTTGGCTAGGCTGGGTCTTCGTTACTGTGCGAGCTACTCTTTAGCTGTGGTGCACGGGCTTCTCGTTGCGGAGCATAGGCTCTAGGCATCCAGGCTCAGGAGTTGCAGCTCCCGGGGTCTTGAGCACGGGCTCAGTAGTGGTGGAGTGTGGGCGTTGCCCTGTGGCATGGGGGATGTTCCTGGCTTAGGGATCGATCCCGTGTCTCCTGCCCTGGCAGGAGAACTCTTCACCAGTGAGCCATCAGGGAGGCCCCCAGAGGGCTCTTTTAATTTAGAATCTAGAAATATAACAAAAGGAGAATGCAAAGGCAGAGAGGGGAAAGGAGAAGACAGTGAGGGCAGCACCTATGATGAGCTGCAGCAGTTCAGATGCACCTGTGTTTACTAAACTACTGACTCGAGCTCCTGCCTACTTACTCCCGTTTTCCAGGCGTGCATAACCTGGAGCTAGTGTGAGCCTGTTGATAGAATAAAGGAGAGCAGGGTAAGCAGTTTCTCTCACTGTACTTTCCTCAGGGCAGAAGAAAAATGAAAACATCTCACCTTCAGGGGTCCACTCCTCTCAAAGTACCCTAACTTCCCCTTTTGCTATAACCATCTTGCTGAAGATGCCACCTGTATGTTTGGGGAAAGACCTATTTATCGACAGTGTGCTGGATGGTTCCAGTTATATATGAGAATAACCCAGCTTCGTGGTCTTAGTTCTGAAAGAAATAAAGGACAGTCTGTGCTTGGAGTTGGCATGAGGCTCTGACAGTCTCTGAAAGAGATGAGGGGTGGCCACGAGCCCACCCATCCTCCTTGATGCAGCGGTTCCTCTGTCCATGGCTGCCACCCAGGCTCTCTGGCCTCTGAACAAGGGCTGCAGATTTTTCCAGAGCCCCTAGCTCAAAACAGGCTTAGGTCATGGGCCAGCTTCAAAAACCAAGTCTTCATCCAACCTGGCTATTCCCAAATAACTGGGCACTGCTGGTATATGTACAGCCCCTGCTGGGAAGGGAAGGTGACCCACACATTGCCCCCAACATGTTGTTCATAGCAGAACACATGTAAAACCCACACTTCCTCCTGCCTCCTGGCCGTACTGCTTCTGATGTTTGTCTCCTGGCTACAGGAGGGCCACCCCCTGATCATCTTTCAGAGACCCCACCTTCTGCTTTGTCCTGGACCCTAGTGTTGAAATCTTTGCTGAACTTTATTCGGGCCCCCATCCTACCCCCCACCCCGTCCCATGCTTGAGTTATTAGATCAGCCCATTGCCCATAGCCACATTCCTCCTCTCAGACAAGAAGATCCTGCAGCCTCAGGCCAACCTCATCTGTTCCCACGCTTACTTTGACTCTTGAAACCCCAGGCCAGGTGGGGACATAGGACCTACCTCTCCTCTGTTGTATTTGTCTGATTCTCAGTAAACAACTTCCCCGTGGCATCAGATGAAAGCCATGCTCCACCCTGGGATCAGGTACCTGCCCAGGAAGGCATTTCATCTTCTGCGTTCACCAGTGTGTATCCTCTGAGAAACGGTGTTCAGTCCTCCTGTTTGTGAAAGCATTTCCAGAAGAAAAACATTTCTCATTCCATTTCACACTTTTTTTTTTAACTTTCACAAGCCATCGCTGAGTACTTTGACTTTGCTGACAGAAATCTTCCGTTTCTTATTACAACAAATTGTACCCCGAGCAGCAGGATATCAAATCCTAGGGAATCTTTTGGGATGCGTTGAATTTCTCCTGTTGAATCAATCTCTTGCTTGGCTGCCCCTGCAGGCACATAGCTGCTATCTCTTTTCCTTTTTCTTAGCTCTTGGAAGAGAAAGTAGGAAAAAAAAACAAAAAAAAAATTCCATTTTCCTCCATAGGGAGCCAACAGAAAATCAGGCAGGCCTGAGAAATGGGAAGTGACAGATACAGCTTCAGAAGGTTCAAAAAGAATCCATGAAAACCAACCTTAATTTCATATAAATACATGTTTTATAATTAAACAAAAATGTTTTGTTTTTGTTTGTTTTGTTTTTCACATTCTATTTATCTGTGTTATTTGAGTGAAGTCCATACTGAGTTTTCAGAAATTCTCCAAGGATAGATGAATGGACCTTGGATTAAATTGCACAAGTAAAGCTGATTTATCAAGCCTCATACATTTGATCACTTACAGAGAGTGGTGATGGCAATTTGTAAGGAACAGTAAGAGGTCCTTGAAATAAATGAAAGATGGGGAGTAAATAGCCCCCAAAATGATAGGACCCAATTCTTGAGAGAGCCAGGTTATTTTGAGCTGGAACAATATCCTCCCGCCTAGATAGTTCAAAGCTCATGAGAACATGAAAAGTGAGTGTTAGTCGCTGAGTCCTGTCGGACTCTTTGGACCCCATGGACAGTAGCCTCGGTCTATGGAATTCTCCAGGCACGAATACTGGAATGGGTAGCCATTCCCCTCTTCAGGGGATTTTTCCAACCCAGGGATCCAACCTTGGTCTCCTGCATTGCAGGCAGGTTCTTTACTGTATGAGCCGCCAGCATACTGCCTGGGGTGGGGAGGGGGGATGTGTGATATGTTCAAGGGATGCAACCCAGCCAGGGACGAGGAAACTGGCGTGCAAGGGGCGGCAGTTTGCGGCCTTGAACAGCGCCAACGGCGGGGCCCTGGGGGCCGCGAGGGGAGTGGAGACAGCACCGGCTCTACAAAGAATGCATGGCTGATGGAAGTGGTGCTTCCCACACAAAGCGCACGAATCACGCGATTACACTGCCCTTCAGAATTAAAGAGAAACAAATCGGCTCTTGCTTGTAATGGGAACTATCACCTTAATATCCTCCCAGAGTGAGATGAATCAGTTTCAGCCGTCACAGAAGCATCCGCCAGCTATCCTTTAGCATCATCTTTTGAGAGGACCGGGTGAGAGGACGGTAAGAGCTCTCCTCCACCTTTCAGCTTCCCTCCACTGAAAAGTAATTGCTCTTATTTATTAAGAGCCTCCTGTGGACCAGGCAGCTTGCTTCTCATCCTCTCTGCACAGTGAGCAGGAAGCTAGCCTGCCCTGTCCTCCACATGCGGAGGCTGAGGCTGAGACCTAGGTGAATTGCAATCTCCGTGGCAGAGCTGGGGTTCAGACTCGGGCCTTACGTTTATTTATTTTATTGTGATTATAATTTTCCAGAAGAGTGTTTGAGTCAGCTTGACCCCGGATCTGCTTGATTATAAAAGTCAGGGTTGTTTCTACGCTGAGTAGTCTTTCCAGCTCCACCACCCTGCCTTCCTGCTACATGCATCTCATGATTCTTCGTTACCAGTGACAGAAACCCAACTCAGGCTGCCTAAGCATTGAGGGAAGTTTGCTGCCCACAGAACCGCTCAGCCAGAGTCGCTGTGACAGAAGTCAGGGATCCAGGCTGGGTCATCAGTCGGGTCTCTGCCTCTCTTACTCCTAGTCCTTCCTCCTCTCCCCACATCTGTTTCTCTCTGCTCCCTCCTCTGTGTTGCCTTTATTTTTTACCACACAGGCCATCTCCCCACAATGCAGTAGAGACGATGGCTTCCAGTAACTCCTGTTCACGTTCTCCTAGCTCTGTGATAGAAGAAGAAGTATTTCCTCTAGCTCTAAATTTTATTTTTTTTTATTTTTTGGCTATGCCATGTAGCGTATGGGATCTTAGTCCCCTGACGAGGGATCAGAACCGCAGCCCCTGCAGTGGAAGTGGGAAGTCATAACCACTGGACTGCCCTGGACATCCCTCCAGCTCCACATTTAAGAGTATGTGTTTTGGGTGGACTTGTTTGACACCTTTGGGTCTCATGCTTTCTGCTGCCTGGACCAAGGGAGACGATAGGCTGGCAGCCCTTCCAGTAACAAGGTAGGAGATGGACAGAAACTATTCAAAAGCTTGGATAGTGGGTGAATGATGGACAAAGTAGAATGTTCTCCACTGTACTAGTATACTCAGAGATGGTCTAGTAAAAATTATGGAAAGAAAAAAATTCATATATATTACCATGTGTAAAATAGATGGTGCCCACACGTGTCCGACTCTTTGTGACCCCATGGTCTGTAGCCCGCAAAGCTCCTCTGTCCATGGGATTCTGCTGGCAAGAATACTGGAGTGGGGTGCCATTTCCTCTTCCAGGGGATCTTCCCCACCCAGGGATCGAACCCACGTCTCTTGAGTCTCCTGCAGGTGGATTCTTTACCACTTGTACCACCTAGGAAGCCTGTGTAAAATAGATATAGCATAGGGGGCTCAGCCCAGTGCTCTGTGACAACCTAGAGGAGGGTGATGGGGCGGGTAGGGGTGGGAAGGACAACCTAGAGGAGGGTGATGGGGCGGGTTGGGTGATGGGGCAGGTGGGGGTGGGAGGGACAACCTAGAGGAGGGTGATGGGGCAGGTGGGGGTGGGAGGGACAACCTAGAGGAGGGTGATGGGGGCAGGTGAGAGGGGGGAGGGAGATTTAAGAGGGAAGGGATATATGTTTACTTGTGACTGATTCACATTGTTCTACAACAGAAACCAATACAACATTGTAAAGCAATTATCCTCCAATTAAAAATAAATTTAAAGAAAAGGAAAAATCCCAAGGTGGGAAAGAGAGTCCAAAGGCTGATAAATAAAAAGTTATGACATGGGAGAGAAAGAAAAGACAGCATTGTACCGTTAGGAATGAAGTTCTGCAAAAGCAGATTCCTCGAATTGTAAAAGGAGCAGCTGGATTCAGTTGGACCAGAACACAGGTTAGCTGCTTAAGAAGTCTGCTGTAACAGGAACGGATGGGTCAGGGTGCTGGTGAGGCCCTACCTAAGGCAGAGAAGTTGTGTGAAAAAGTGTACCCGATGGCAGCATGTGATACATCTTGTGCAGGGTTTTCAGTCCCTGTGTGTATTACCTGTTTCTGGCTGTAGGCACCAAGGAACATAACCAGAACGCATTCAGTTTGGAAGTGCTGCAGAAAGAGTACACTTTGATTTCATCAAAGCGTTTGATAATGTCTTCTGGTACATTTCCTATAGATGGAAAAAATAGGCTAGTAAAGTTGGTTTATGCCTTTTAAACAGCCATTTCTGAACTGTTGCCATTAACAGATTGATAGACTCCTTTGGGCAAACATATAATGGTATGTGTCTCAAAGCTCCACTTTTTTGGTTCTGAATCAACATTTTTATTAAAGACTTAATGAGATGAATACATAGGAGTTATGTATATCAAATTTGCAAGGGATGCAAAGCTAAGTAGAATAATTAATACTTTGGAGGACTAAACCAAACTTCAGAATTATCTCCTTAATTAGAAATATTTGGCCAATACCAACAACATGAACTTAAACAGGGATACATGAAAAAGTCTGCATTTGTGATGAAAAATTCAGTAACAAGCTGGAGAGTTTTTGTAGTATTTTGTAGTAGATAATTTTTGGATGCCCCACCAGCATTCTTTTTCTTAATAGAACCTCAGATGTCTTAGCCATGTAGTTTATATGTGATTGATTGACCACAGGGGCAGTTCATGATTAGCTTAAGCTAGAAAATCATATTTCTCTGGTCTCCTGACTCAAGTCAGACCAGTTAGAGCCAATGATGGCCTATTCTTAGACTTTTATTTGTAATATTAAGAAAGTAAACTTCCCTTTCCTATGCCTCATGATAGAGGAAGCATATGGCTGCAGGAGATGCAGGCTGCTAGGTTATAGAGAGAGAGAATGGAGAGGAAACCCAGGAAACACAGGTAAGGAGTGGAGAGAGATCCTGGTTCCCATTGCTTAAGCATTGCCTGAAACCAAATTCAGCCCTGTAGTATTGAGTTACACAACACTTAGGCTGATAAGTGTCATTTCTTATCAGCCAGTTTGAATTGGACTTCTTGGCTCATATAATGTAAAGAATCCTAACTGCTGTCTGTGGGGGGTGGTTGCAGGAGATGAGTGCAGTGCAATGGCCAAGAAAGATGATGTCGCCTTATATTGCATGTGCAAGTCGCTCAGTCATGTCTGACTCTTTGCGACTGCATCAACTGTACAATCCATGGAATACACCAGGCTAGAACACTGGAGTGGGTAGTCTTTCCCTTCTCCAGGGGATCTTCCCAAACCAAGGATTGAACCCAGGTTTCCCGCATTGCAGGCCAATTCGTTACCAGCTGAGCCTGTATACTGCATGATTGTAGGTAATTGGAAGAGACTGGATACATGCATCTACCACACTGTGTCTAGAGAGTTCCTCGCTGAGAGTGACCAGAATGAGAAGACTCTTGTAGTGACATTATATGAGAAATGGTGGATGAAAAACGGAGAGGTTTTACCACAAGGCGAAGAGACTTTGTGAAGGAATGGGAGACCGTTACACGTTTTCAGATTTAGTGAATTTCAGCTGTAAGTGTAGGAAGGGGGAGAAGGAAATGGCAACCCACTCCAGTGTTCTTGCCTGGAGAATCCCAGGGACGGCCGAGCCTGGTGGGCTGCCGTCGATGGGGTTGCACAGAGTCGGACACGACTGAAGCGACTTAGCAGCGGCAGCAGCAGTGTAGGAAGGGAGTAGACTCTTCCTCATAACCCGAGGAGGAGGAGCTAGAATGTAGGACTTGGAATTAGAAGACGACACTTAGCATGCCAGGATATTAGGAAGAGCGGTTTATGACAATTCAGGTGCCCAGTAGTGGTCAGTTCTGTTTTGAAGAGTAGTAAATTACCCATTTTTGGAAGTGTGTACACAACAGGTGACCATCATTTGGAATTTTATCAAAATAATTCCCTTATTAGGTGGGAAGCTTGTCCAGATGAGCTTTAATGTCCCTTTTGGCTGAGATTGTGAGTTTCAAAACCCTCCAAAACCTCTTCAGTTTTAGTCACAAATAAAGTACAAAAACAACCAACTCAACTCTGATTTTCCGTTGCCTCGATTATCATTAAGTTATGAATGATACATAATTTTCCTTCCTCTGCCTGGCTCTAAGAGAACATCCTAAGGGTAAGTGTGGCTATAATAGCTTATAATCTTTTTCTATAACTTGGTAGGTGGTAGAATAGTATATATAATAATGCATAGAGAGAATAATATATATCATTCTCTATATAATAATATAGTTATAATAATACATTATTATTCTACCACCTACTAAGTGTTAGTTGCTCAGTCTTGTCCAACTCTTTGAGACCCCATGGACTGGGGCTTGCCAGGCTCTTCTGTCCATGGAATTCTCTAGGCAAGAATACTGGAGTGCCATTTCCTTCTCCAGGAGGTCTTCCCAACCCAGGGATCTAACCTGGGTCTCCAGCATTACAGGCAGACTCTTTACCATCTGAGCTACCAGGGAAGCTCACCACCTACTAAGTTGTATATATATATTAAACAGAGTGGGGCTTCCCTGGGAAGGTATAGAATTGCAGGAGGTATAGAATCTGCCTGCAAAATGCAGGAAACCCGGGTTCGATCCCTTCCTGATCTCAGGTCAGGAAGATCCTCTGGAGAAGAGAATGGCTACCCACTCCAGTATTCTTGCCTGGAGTGTCCCATGGACAGAGGAGCCTGGCAGGCTACAGTTCATGGGGGTCACTAAGAGTCGGACATGGCTGAGCAACTAATACTTTCACAGAGTGATATTGCTTATGTTATATGTATGTATACATATACACTGATACACACACACACACACACATTCATATATATTTTAAAGGATACATTTCTTATCAGCTGCATTTGTTTTAAATTGAAACAGTTGCTAACCTCTAGAAAGTGAGAGATTTTTACACTTTAAAAAGCCTGAATTTCTAGCTTTGCTTGGGGAGTCGATATCCTGGTGACAGTGGATCCACATCCCCGAAGCGTTACTCGCTGGGCAGGGCAGCAGTGGCTTTTTAAACCTGGCTTGTGCTCTGTCCGTTGCCAAGGTCCCCACCGTTCCCGGACCAGACCAGCTTCAGCTTCACTCAGCCGCGTCCTCCCCGCCCCAGTGGGCTTGTCGGTGTGTGATCTCTGCCCCGAATGTTGCCTTTTTCCCTCCTGGCCCTGAGCTGGCAGTTAGCACAGAAGCCACTGGGAGCAGGAGAGAATTAAGATGTGGAGGCATGCTGCTTCTCAGACCCAGAGAACATGGAAGGAGAAGAAGAAAGCTGACACTTCATTCTCACCCGTTAGTTTTCTATGACAATACAAGATTTTAATTTTAAAATTTAATAGAAAATGTGGCATTTTTCACTCTTAGAAATGGATGAATAAAACATAAGAGTTTGCAGATTTATAAAAATGTAGCATCTGGGTAAACGTTAAGTACCTTTTCCCATTAAGTTCCCTTGTTATCAGTTTCTAATGAATTCAGAGTCTACTCTTCCCCAGGACCTCTGATGCACACGCTTGACCCCATTCTTGTTATGTTCCCCAAACTATGTTCCCTGGGGATAATTATTCTTTTGATCTGATGTGAAAAACCATTCTGGTCAAGTGAGTCTGGAAAAAGGTAGGATAAAAAAACAAAAATGGCTTCAGATCAATTTGCTGAAAATCAATTACTGGTAGCCAGCTCACTAAACACCAGTTCCATGATAGACCTGTTTGCCACATATGCCAAATTTACCAATGATGATCTAGCAGCTTTTAAAAAAAATGTTCAGTCAGATGAACGGACCTTGAAAGATACTTTCCTGAATATGAACGAATACTGAGATGTTCTCCAAGATGTTGGGAAAATACAAATTCTGGAATGCTAACAAAAATGAAAATTCAGTTTATTTTAAAAACTCCTACTTGAAATAGTACACTTTTTCTATCTAATGGTTCAACGTTTCATATGTGACAGGATTGCTTCAGCTATATTTGATTTTTTTTCTATACTTTCAAAATGTCATTTAAATTTTTTTTAACATTTTAAGCATTTTTAACATTCTTTCTAAGATTTGTTTACCAATTCCTTAAAAGCTTACTAGCCTTAGTTCTGTATTTCTATCAATTTAGAATTTAAATTCAACTTAATTACTTTAAAATTCTGGTATCTTTAGGGAGCTTTTGAACTTATATTTAATTTAAATGTTCAACTGCTAGAAATACTAAACTATGGCTGATAAGCCACTGAAGGAATTATGGAATAGACGAACTTTACATGCTTGACATTTTAAACAAAGTTAAAAAAAAACATTCAGAAACATCCAAAAGAAACCAGAAGCAACCTAAATAGTCTTATTTGTGGGAAAGTATCCATTTCTATTAATTTATATTTTACTAACTTTTTGCAAGGTTAATACTTCTTCGCCACTTGAACATTTCTGTCGAAACTTTGAAGACATTCCCACTATAAGTCATGTCCTGAAGGGAAAAAAATGACAGTTGGTAAATTTGTTAAAATCAGCAAATAATTCATCAAATTTATCTTGCAGTCACTTGACCTGCTTTCAGATGGAGTTAAACTGATTTATTTTGTGCAGAACTTCTCAAGGTTTTTAATAAACTAGTGTACATTTTGAATGTCTAGAAGAGGCATTTAGAATAAGATGATAGTTTTCAGTCTCAAACAACTGCAAAAGGCACAAACCATGAAGGAGTTTCACACCACTACTTGGGTGACAGGGGTTGGCCTCGCTTTGGTGCTTTGGGGCTTTGTATTTAAGTCCCATTAATTAGATTTTAAAACTTTTTTTAAAACCTCGTATCTTGTTTTTAAAATAACAGGCTTCTGCCTCCCTACTTTCAAGGTTGTTTCTTAAGAGCAACTTTTTAAAAACATTACTGTTTTCAGTATTTCTGATAGTTATTTTTATACCTCTGAATAATGTTTTTAGATTTAGATTTCTTGTGTATTACCTAATAAATTATCAACTCCTGGCTAAGAAAAACTAAAACTCTACCTTATACTATCCTCTTTTCTCTATCCTTCCTCTTTCTTTCCATTACAAAATTATATTGTTTAATTATCTTAATGGATACCTGTGAAACTTAAAGCAATATACTGAAATTTCTATTTCTCATTCTATCCACTTCAGGCATGTCCCTTGGTTTCCCACTCTATTAGATGGAGATTTAGTATTCCTGTTCTTGATGAAGAATTAAGATATAAAATTCTCATCAAAATGACTTTCAATGGCCATTTTAAAAGCCTGCTACCCTGTCTTCTAAGATCTATTATTTCTGATTCTACTTGGATTTGGGTTTCTTTGTTGATCATCATTTTATCTTTCTGTAAGTTTTTAGGCTCTATTCTTCTGTTTGATGTTCTGAAAGTTCACATTGATGTTTCTAGGCATAGATTTTTTTCATTTATGCTACATCCTTTCATTTTAAAGACTCTTCCTTTATCTCTGGGAAATTTTTTCTTTATTTTTTTCTTTTTAATTCAATTTCATCTGTTTTCTCTGTTCTTTTGTCCTGAAAGTCCTAGTAGTTGGATGTTTCTAGTGTCTTGGATCTTTTGCTTTATGTTCTGAGAGTTATCTTTGACTTTATTTTCCAGACCTTTATTAGAATCTTTATATCTCAGCAAAAATTTTGTTTCTAAATTGACCAGAACTCATTCTTGAAATTTTCCTTTTTCATGGCTCTCTATTCTATTTTCAGACTCAGCATCTTCTCGAATCTAAGGATAATTGGTCTTTCAAAAAATTCTTTCCCATTTGCTGAATGATCTCTGTTTCTTCAAGTTTTTTTTTCCTTCAGTTTATTTGTTCTGATCTTTTTTCTGTGCTCTTTCCTTGAATTTTACGTGCTTCTTGATTCATATTTTTTAACAACTTTGTTGAGGTGTAATTCACATGCCATGTCACTTACTCATTTAGAGTTTACAGTTGCTTTTAGTATATTCAGAGAGTTGTACATCTAATACTATCATCAATTTTAGAACATTTTCACTATTTCCCTCTAAGGAAACCCTATGCTCCTTAGCGATCATCTATCCCCTAATCTTCTCCCTCAGTCGCACCCACCCCCACTGCCCTAGGCAACCACTGTCCCTCTATATTTGAAAATAAACGATTAGAAAGGTCAACTTGTTGCTCCGTGGGTTTCAAAATGACAGTCGGTCAGAAGACAGTGCTTGAGAAGGAGGAAAAGGCAGAGGCTGAAACTGAGTACCTCTCTAGATAACAGCAGATGTTTGTTATTGTTGTTCAGTCACTAAGTAGGGTCCAACTCTTGGCAATCCCATAAACTGCAGCATGCCAGGCTTCCCTGTCCTCCACTATCTCCCGGAGTTTGGTCAAATTCATGTCCATTGAGTCAGTGATGCCATCCAACCATCTTAGCAGATATGATTAGCCCCAACTTAGAGCTATTAAAGCTGTGGCTGAAAGAGTTGGGTGCCTCACCCAAGGTCACACATCTAGCAAGAGGCAGAATATTTCATACCTGAATGACTTTTCCCGCTACTTGTCCCCCTCACCTCCCCCTGCCCCCCAGAGGAGTGGCTTCTGATTGGTTCCTGTCCCCAGGGCAGCAGCCACTGGGTTTGTCAGCAAGGGATGGGCCCAGGGCAAATGGTGAGGACTATAGGTGGCTGGTTTCTATTGCCCCCCAAGCTCACGAACTGTCTCTCTATCCAACAGGAACCAAACAGGGAAAGCCACACACACACCTACGCCCCACCTCCGCCTACATACTTAGGTTTCAATTATGAAATACCTTTTAAAGTATCTTCTCTAAACAGAAATACTGAATTCTCCTTTCCACTTCTGTTTCTGAATAAGACTTATAATCTTGTGTTGTTTCATGGTCTTCAAATAAAATGTAAGGTCTAAGGGGAATGAAAAAAAAAGTCAGAGATCATATTTTCAACTGCCAACTAATTTGGTGATTCTCCCAGGTGAGAAAATCAATGTCTGCTCTGGAGAGGTGAATCATGCATTCCATTAGGTTGTGCCACCGTGATTTTCTTCTGTGAAAATTAACTTACCCTCCATGCTTTTCAGTTTCTCAGTGAAGTATATTTCATGCTTGCCTTTCCCCAAAAACAGATATATGTGTTTTGAGTACAAATCTAAGCCATTGATCCCCAGAAGAGGTGGTCTGAATCTGTTGGAGGATTGAACTAAATACCTCAGAGGCGGAGAAGAAATCTCCCAATGTCTCAGGTCTGAGTCTCTGATAGCCAGCCAGCCTCCAGGCTAACGTGAGACCTGGCTCTAGGGGGTTTCATTCTTTCTAGAACATCCTTATTCTCAAATTATTGATCCAGTAGCAAGTTGGTCCCCTTAACTCACAGATAATACCATGGTGTGATCGGAAACGCCAAGGTTGCAGAGACTTCTCCTTCTTTCCATGCTGCTTCTCTCGGTGTTTGCATCTTCACCCTCAACCCTTCACTGGCCCAGGCTTCACCTCGACTTGGTGTTTTTGTTTTTATAGTTTCATTTATTTATTTTTGACTGTGCTGGATCTTTGTTGCTGCCCGTGGGCTTCCTCCAGTTGCGGTGGGCAGGGGCTATTCTGTAGTTGTGGTACGCGGGCCTCTCATTGCAGTAGCTGCTTCTGTTGCAAAGCACAGACTCTAGGGCACTCGGGCTTCAGTCGTTGCGGCACATGGCCTCAATAGTTGCAACTCCCCAGCTCGGGAGCACAGGCTCAGTAGTTGGGGTACATGGGTTCAGTTGCTCCATGGCATGTGGGATCTCCAAAGACCAGGGATTGAACTTGTGTCTCCTCCGTTGGCAGGTAAATTCTTTACGACTGAGCCACTAGAGAAGCCCCTCCACTTGGTGTTGACTTGTGCTCATAATAGCATTAGAATACTTTCTTCCCTGCTCTCAAGCAGCCACTGCCCCAAGCCCTCTGTACAGCTACACAAGCTCTTGTCCTGGAACTTTCCCATCATCCAGGAACCAAAAAGGGTGGGTGCCCACACCCCTTCTGGGATCTGCTCCATTGCTATGACTGGCATCATTTCTGATTGATGAGGAACTATGCCATACTGCAAAAAATCACCCCAGCTCCTGACAAAGTCTGATCACTTGGAAAGGGGGCTGAATTGTGTAATAGGCTCCTGTTTGATACCCAGTGCATGCGTACTGAGTCACTTCAGTGGTGTCTGACTGTGCAACCCCATGGACTGTAGCCCAGCAGGCTCCTCTGTCCATGGGATTTTTCCAGGCAAGAATACTGGAGTGGGTTGCCATGGCCTCCTCCAGGGGATCTTCCCAATCCAGGGATCGAACCTGTGGTTCCTGCATTGCAGGCAGATTCTTCATGAGCCACGAGGGAAGCCCATTTGACACCTTTGGCAAATCAGAAGCAGAGTTGTTCCTTTAAAGGTGGATTCTCAGGGCTTGTCTCAAGGCACACCTTCCTTTTGACTCTGCTTTATCAAGGTTTCAGTGACACTGGTGACAGTACAATCACAAAATGAGGCACTGGAGCCACCTCTGTGTCCGAGTCAGGACATCCTTGCGAGCACCGTCGCAGTCTCCCCAGCTGTGCATGAGTGAGTGCCTGCTAAGCCCCACTTCCTTATAAGAGTATGTGTGCGAACTGAAGAATGTGTGCAGCCGGCAAGGCCAGCTTTCGCCTGTCAGCAGCTGAGAATGTTTAGGACAGTCCACCGACTGGAAACGTGCACCATGGCGAGGTGCTCGGCTACAGATGGAACTTGTAAAACCCACATTAGTGCCTCAGGTGGCCTTTGGATGAGCTTGGAATTAACCTCCATAAACACAGACTCCTCTCTCAAGATGTCCTTCAAGAAAAAAATCACTCTTGGGCTCCAACCCCTGAACACTGCAGGGTGTGTGTGGCCCGTCTGGGGCCGGGGGCTGCAGGGGGAAAGCCCCATGGCGGAGAGCAGCAGAGACTCAGATCCAGTGTTGTTGGAAACCAGCCTCACTCCTCAGCTCAGCGTAAGCCAGGCCATCCCGGACTGAGTCATTGCTCTGGCTTTATCCTGTCTCACCTCTTAGGTCTCAGGTGTCTGTTTATGTATAAACCAAAGGGTGTCACCCTTGTCCCCTGGCCATGGCAGTATTTAACCAAATTGGCCAGAAATGGTTTTTGCCAAAAAATATTTTCTCGGTGGGCCTCCCTGGTATCTCAGGGGTAATGAACCCACCTATCCGCCTGCCAATGCAGGTTCGATCCCTGGGTTGGGAAGATCCCCTGGAGAAGGAAGTGGCAACCCACTCCAGTATTCTTGCCTGCGAAATCTCATGGACAGTGAAGCCTGGCGGGCTAAAGACCATGAGGTCACAAGAGTCACAGACAACTTGGCGGCTAAACAACAGCAACATTTAAAGGAGCAGGGACTTCTGGCCTGGCAGGAAGGAGCCTGGCCACCTGGGCTCGGGTGTTGGGCTACAGAGGCACCTCTGAGATGACACGTGGAGGACCAAATAAGTGAAAACATGGAGCTGTCTCTGCCTAACCAGAAGCCACCCGCAGCTACAGTCCTGGAGAGAGAGGAATGGAAAGGATGAGGAACTGAGGTCTGTCACTGTTGCCAAAGTTAATGCAGGAATTAGCTTCATTGAGCACCACATGCTGGTGCTCAGCATGTCTGTGCAGCAGACTTGGTCTGTGGCATCACCACCCTCTTCCTCAATGCCATTCCTCTTGTATCCCTCCCCTGCCCCCCCCAAGGGGCTCAAGGCCCTACTCTTGTCTCCATATAGTCCTTTCCAAACCCGTTCTCAGATCCTTCTGTCCCACGGGGTGTCTCCTGACTGGCAAGTTAAAAGCTGGCTTTCCCAAGTGAAGTCGCTCAGTCGTGTCTGGCTCTTTACAACCCCATGGGCTGTAGCCCACCAGGCTCCTCCATCCATGGGATTTTCCAGGCAAGAATACTGGACTGGGTTGCCTTTTCCTTCTCCAGGAGATCTTCCCGACCCAGGGATTGAAGCTGGGTCTCCCTCATTGTAGGCAGACACTTTACCATCTGAGCCACAGGGAAGTCCAAGGACACCTGTATTTTAACAGAAATCAAAACATGAAGCTAGGGGCTTCCCTGGTGGTACAGTGGATAAGAGTCCCCCTGCCAGTGCAGGGGACGCAGGTTCAACCCCCAGTTCCGGAAAATTCCACATGCTGCAGAGCAGCTCAGCCCCTGGGCCACAGCTGCTGATCCTGCACTCTAGAGCCCACAAGCTGCAACTCCTGAGCCCATGCACCGAGAGCCTGTGCTCCACAGGAGAAGTCACCGCAACGAGAAGCCTTGCACCACAACGAAGAGTAGCTCCCGCTTACCACAACCAGAGAAAAGCCCGTGTGCAGCAACAAAGACCCAGCACAATCAAAAATAAATATTAATAAATAAAAAGCATCAATCTAAGTGGTTGAAGCTCTAAGGACCACAGTCTGGTCACTAGGCACCAACCAGTGCAGCGACCCCTGGGCCGTCTTGGATCTTGCAGTCTGCACATTAATCTCCTTACTTGTCCTTAAAACTCACCTCGATCAGAGCAGACTGTATGACTGCAAGTCTTGGCTGCCCTTATGATTCTTGTGCATGAGCAGTATAAATGCTGACAAATGTGGGCAGAGAGAAAACAGGAGAAGGAGGAAGAAAGAACATTCTGATCACGTCCAAAGAGAATAAGACACCTTAGCTCTGAGCGATGTCAGGTTGTTCCGGTACTCACTTCGGGGCCCTGACATCTGTCCTGATTGTGCTGCACACTCCAGAGACCGCTTTGAATGGCTCCTGCCTCTCTGGATTGTCCCTGAGACCTTCTCAAAGCTGGGGCATGGGAGTACCAAGCTTATGCAGAATTGAGGCCATGCCATGTGGTGTCAACCATGAGATCATCCCCAGTGTGAAGGAAGTTTGCAGAGCAAGGGAATTCCATGCTACTCATCTTCTCTGTGCCAGGCACTGGCTAAAACATTTCAGACAAGTCACTTCATCTGATTCTTACTGTATCATTGCTAGATGATGCTAGTGGTAAAGAACCTGCTTACCAGTGCAAGAGACATAAGAGAGTTGGACTCAATCCCTGGGTCAGGAAAATCCCCTGGAGAAGGACATGGCAACCCACTCCAGTATTCTTGCCTGGAGGATTCCATGGACAGGGGAGCCTGACAGGCTACGGTCCATGGGGTCACAAAGAGTAGGACATAACCAAAGTGACTTAGCATGCACGTATGTATCATTGCCAATAGGACATCCTTTCAGTCATCCTTGTGTTGTTATTCCCATTATACTAATGAGAAAACCAAAACGCAGAGAAATTGAGAAACTTGCCCCATGAGATAAGATTTGAATCATGGACCATCTAACTTCAAGTCCGTACCTTTTCTACCATATCGTTCTTTTTACAAAAGATGACAGATTTTTTTAAAATAAAATGAACAGCTGCCCTTGTTGATCTCTAAACCCACCTTGTCATATAGCTGAAAAGCCTCCCCTTCCCATAATCTGGAATTTTTCCCCAGAGATTCCCCGTAGGAGTTAATTCATTTGATGGATGGCCCTCTACACACCTGTGTACTCATGTGTGCCTGCTGCTAAATGCTGCTGTCATTAGTAGGAAAAATACAATCCTGTGTCCTAAATGTCCTTGTCAGTAGCCAAGACAGAGCCTGACATTAGATTGCCCTCTTTGGTTTTCCGCTTGTGGGCTGAGCCATCGTTACCCAGAACATTGCTGTGATCTTCTGAACAGGAAGACTGCTCCATCGGGGCCACTCAGGATGGTGAAATGAGGTTGGCAATCATAATTTGCTTCCTCAATTTGCAGCCTACTGGGCTGCCCATACAGTGTTCTTCAGAGGATGTTAAAGAGCCTGGATCAAAGAACAGGAGTGCATTCTATTAAAGTCGTGTGTGAGTCCTGGCCGTTAAAAGACAGGAAGGTTAATGGGGGTAGGGTGGGGGGCCTGGGGTGCAAGGGCAGGGCTTGGCTGCAGCCCGCCGCCTTCATGGTGGAGCATGAGCAGTTCTGATAGGATTCTCACGGGGTCAGTGCTGGAGTGCTCAGATGCTCAGTTAGAGAGTTTTTCCTCCCCGACACGGTGGCAGAGGCCAGCCACTCCCCGAGGACTGTCAGCATATCCATACAGAGCTCACAGAAGTGCAAGCACAGCCTTCCCAGGGTGAGGGAGAGGTCAGAGAAATCCATTTAAATGCCTCAGAAATGTCGCCGAGGATGGCAGAGGCTCTGAAGAGCATTTCTTTATGAGGAAATGTGGTCATGTCAGGCAGGCGGGACTAGAGGCAGATTACGGTCCAGAATCCAAGGGTCCGGACCCAGTCCACTGCCTTCCCCTCTGTTCCAAAGAGTAAGTCATAGATGTAGGCAAAGAAAGGGCTCTGAAATGGGAAAAAAAAATGGCTCTGTGATCAAATTAATTTGAGAAACAGTGGATTAAATGAGGTGCCTCTACAGTTCGCTTCTTTCTATTGTAAAATACTGAGCACGTTGGTCTATATTCTAGTGCATCTGAAAGTGCAGTAAATCTTTGAGTCAGTGTCAGCAACAGGGTGAGGCGAGTGACGTGTGTAGGGTGCAGGGTTTAAGAAGATGCCCACTCTCAGGGTCCTGCAGGTGAGACCTGGGAGTGAGCATGCCCAGCACCTCCCTCACCTCACCCTCCTCCCGCCCCAGGTGGCACCCAGTGGGGGTGTGGATGCTGAGGCTTCCCCGCCCGCACAAAATGCTGGGGCTTAGTCTTCCCAGAGATCTGCTCAGCTCATGACAACTTGAGTGAGTGCTTAAAATAGCCTACCAAGGTTAAATGTTAACTTAGACCCTTTCCTTGACTCTTTTTAAAAAAAATTATTCATTTTATTTATTTATTTTTGATTGCGCTGGGTTTTTGTTGCTCCACACAGGCTTTCTCCAGCAGTGAGCAGGGAGCTACTCTTCGTGGTGGTGCACAGGCTCTAGAGCATGGGATCAGTAGTTGTGGGGCACAGGCTTAGTTGCCTCTCAGCATGTGGAATCTTCCCAGACCAAGGACTGAATCCATGTCCCCTGAATTGACAGGCAGATTCCTATCCACTGTATCACCAGGGAGGTCCCTTTCTTTAACTCTTAAAATGCCTTTTAAAAGACTGTTATATGTCAATGTATGGCAAAACCACTACAGTATTGTAGTTAGCCTTCAATTAAAATAAATAAATTTTTTAAAAAAGGAAGAAAGAACGAAAGAAAAGACTATGAATTGCAGTGGAAAAAGCCTAGCAAATGACACCTTAACCATATAGCATTCAGATTAGCATCATCACTGATACTGTGTGCCTATCATGGCAAACTTTGATTCTGTTTCCACCAACCTATAACCCCTATTTAGTCATGAGAAAAACTCAGATCAGGGTGCATTGAATAGAGTAACTTGGCCAGTGCTCTTTGAGACTGTCTAGGAAAGATTAAGAAACTGCCATGGTCTAGAAGAGACTGGGGAGACATGACAACTGAATGCAATTTTGTCCCTGAATTGGATTCCAGAAGAGAGAGAGGACATTGATGGAAACACTAGTAAATCCAGATAAAGTCTGTAACTTAGTTATCAGTAGTACGCCAACTTTGGTTTCTTAGTTTGACGAATGTTCCTTGGTAATGTAAGATCTTAACAACAGGTAAAACTGGAGAAGGATTATGGGAATTCTGTACTGTCCTTGCAACTTTTCTGTAAATGTAAAATTATCTGCAAGCAAATGTTTTTAAAAAGAAAAGACTGTTATGAAGTAGCACCGTAAAGGTAAATTTTCTGCCACCCTGCAGGCAGTGTAGTTAAAGTTGATAGCAATAACCAGATTTCAAGGAATGGGTCACAGAAATTTCAAAATGAGAAATTGGTGTGCTAATTCTTGAAATGATGAGTCCTTCACTATTAAGAACCCTAACTGTCTCCAAGCATTTATTAAAAGCTTCCAGCTAACACTTAAGTTGATACCATCTAGTGACATGTTACTCAGTAAAGGAAAAGGGGAAGCTATAAACTTATCAAAAAGAAAAGGCACATGAATCTAATATTCCTTTACAGGATTCAGAGTTATATTTTTATCCTAAAGTTGCAAAAGAAGTCAAGGTCATGAAAAGTTTATGAAAAGCAATTCATCGTTGTGATATTTAAGATAACTTCCAAAGGTCAAAAGTGATTCAGAAAACCTTTAGAATCTTAAGGCAAAGAATTAGATACAAACCATTACTGAGATACTGAAGAAAGAAGTCTGTAAGTGCCTGTAGAGATAAATTGTAAACTCTTATAACTTAAAAACAAAACCGTGTAATTGTAATCAGGTGTTTCTTCCTCGTCCCTTCAAAAAAAACTGCTGTTGAATCAGTGGAGAGCTTACAATTGATGAATCAAGGAATAAAACAAAAATGGAATACATATTTTCAAACTTAAGTGCCCAGGGAACCCTGGGGTTCCATGGAGCACCCTTGGGTGAAAGTGCTCTACCCTACTTACTGTCTATCCTTTTGTTACAAGATGAATTCTCAGTTATAAAAAACTGTAGCTGCAAAGTTTGGGATTGAGTGTGCTACATGCTGATTTATTGAGAATTTCTGCGACTTCCTTGGTGGTCCAATGGTTAAGAATCCACTTTCAGTGCAGGGGACTCTGTTTTGATCACTGGTCAGGGATCTAGGATCCCACGTGCCTAGGGGCAGCTAAGCCCCAGTGCCACAACTAGAGAAGCTGCCGCACCACAATGAAGGCCCAGCACAGCCGATAGAGAGAGAGAGAATTTCTGAACCCAGAGGGGCTCTGCTATAAGTGACCCCTAAAAAGTGGAACCCAACCTCTTGGCTTATTACTGAGCCAGGCTTTAAGTCACATGAGACATACAGATCCTTTTCAGATTCTCTGAATGTGGTAAGGCTGTCCCAGACCTCCCATTCATTATACAGTAAGGCTGAAAATCATGGAGGTACACAGAGTTGACAAGGCCTTCCCTCCCGCCCTCAAGAAATGTACTGAACTCTAGGAAGCTAACACCCATCACTGAGGGAAGAAACAGGCTCTACTCCTGTAACACCGGCTTGGGTGATGTCTGGCAAGGTTTCCAGTTCAAGACTCCCTACTTGTGAGCCAGGGTTCTCCTGCATCACAGACACACACACGTTCATAAACCCTGGCCTCCTCCAGAATCAGCCTCAGGTTATTGAGAGACATTTGAAAGTTGTTGTCCTCAGAGCCTTGCTTGGCAGTTTTCGGTTCTCTGGTGAGTGAAGGGCTAATGTGTCACTGCACAAGGACTTTATTAATCCAGTCCCCTGCTCCAGACTTGACCTTCAATCACTGGAAAATAAGAAAACACTGAGAACAACTTCAACCAAGTGAAAAATGCTCTGTTGGAGCTCCGTCCCGACATTTGCGTGAGTGCAGCCTTTGTGTGAGCGCTGCGGTAAAGCAGCTGTCCGACAGCTCTGTTTCTAGCTGATGGAGTTGTTAATGGCTCTTCTGGGGCAAGGCAATAAGGGCAGAGCTGGCCCCTGCTCTGGGAGAAAACCAAATGAGAGAGAAGGTTACTGAGGCACATGCTTTGCCCCAAAATAGACATGGATGGAGGGACTGTACTTACCAGAGAGATGTCTTGACTCCTTCCCACTGGTGAAGATGAGTAAAGACACTTAGTTTCTTTGTATATGTCATGGCTAGAGTTCTCTCACTGTATACAGAGCAGCCAATCCATCATTTGAGGTCCTGTGTGTAGCTCCGTTGAGAAGGACAAGCATTTATTAGCCTCAATAAGGTACAGAACTGTCATTATAGAAAAACAGTCACTCATGGTGGGCCCTGGCTAAAATACTGAGAAGTGTGTCATTCACACAAACGTATGGACCCAGACTTGTGAAGTTCAAGTACTGTTTACTTGGGATTAGCTCAAGTTTGGGTAAGAAGCTGTGGAATTTGGATGTGGTTGTTGATAGCACTGTTTGTGGTGAGAGAAACCAGGCCAACGCTTGTGAAGAGGGAAGGGGGCAGGGCAGGGACGTGGGCTGAGAGGCCACCCACTACGAACCTACATCTTACTCTAGATGGTAATTCTGAAACTCAGTCTAGGCATTTTGAAGCTGGAGGGTGACATGTGGAGAGGAAGAAGAAAGAAATATCTGTCTCTTCTAAAGACAGGTATTGTCTGTCTAGGGTTTCCCTGGTGGCTCAGTGGTAAAAGAATCCGCCTGCCAATGCAGGAGACACAGATTTGATACCTGGGTCAAGAAGATTCCCCTGAAGGAAGAAACGCCAACCCACTCCAGTATTCTTGCCTGGGAAATCTCATGGACAGGGGAGCCTGGTGGGCTGCAGTCTGTGGCGTCACAAAAATGTCAGACATGACTTAGCAACTAAACAACAACATTGGCTCTCTCAGGTGAAAGACTTGTGAATGTGGTGCCACCATAAGAAGTTGTAAACCTTACCAGAGGCAGTGTCTTGCCAGGAAAACCAATGATCTCTGAGCTTTCTTTTTCTGTGGTAGTTTGGGAAATATTTGCTGACTACACTCTGTCACAAACTCTTGTTCTAGAAAGTTCCCTAGAGGATCATTCTCTATAGGTTTACAGAAGATAAAAGACAAAGTTGTTCCCAGGCCAGCTACCTTATACCGCTACCTTATACCAGCTACTTTAAGCCGCTCACTTATACACATAGCTATTGAGGTCATCTTTTACCATAAAAGAAATACTAGATTATGCATCATCTTTTCTTTTTTTACAGCTCTATTGAGATGTAATTCACAGAGTATACAGTTCACCATTTAAAGTGTGCAACTCAATGGCTTTCAATATAATTACAGAATTATGACTCAACTATCTTTTTAATGCAGTTTTAGGACATTTTCATTAGCAGTCACACCACAATCCTCTCAGCCCCCAGTACCTAGTAATCTGCTTTTTTGTCTCTCTGTATTTGCCTATTCTGGACAGTTTATGTAAATGGAATCATACAATACATAGCCTTTTTGACTGGCTTCTTTCACTTATCTTATTTTCAAGGTTCATCCGTATTATAGCATGTATTAGTACTCTGTTTCTCTTTATTGAGAAATAATATTCCATTTTATGGATATACCAGATTTTATTTATCCATACATCAGTTGATGGATATCTGGGCTCTTTCTACTTTTTGATTGTTAAGAATAATACTGCTCTGAACACGTTTGCATGAATTTTTGTATGGGCGTGTTTTATTTATTTATTTTTTAATTTCTCCGAAGTATATACTTAAGAATGGTATTGCTAGATCATGTGGTTATTCTGTGTTTAACTTTTTGAGGAACTGCCAAACGGTTTTCCAAAGTGGGTGCATAATTTTACACATTCACCAGTAGTGTATGAAGGTTCCAATTTCTCCATATCCTTATCACCAGTTGCTATTATCTGTTCTTTGATTCTAGCCAACCTAGTGGATGTGTATTGGTATCTCACTGTTGTTTTAAATTGCCCATTATTATTTATTCCTTAGAGAAGTGTCTGTTCATATACTTTGCTCATATCTATTCATACCCTTTATCTTTACTGAGTTGTAATAACTTTATATATTCTAGAAAGAAGTTCTTTACCACATATAATTTGCCTGTGTTTTCTTTCATTCTGTGGGTTATCTTTTCTTTTTGTTTATGCACAAAAGTTTTATTTTAATGATGTTCAATTTATTTATGTTTTCTTTTGTTGCTTATGCTTTTGGTGCCATATCTAAGAAAACATTGCCTAATACAAAGCCATGAAGATTTATGCTTGTGTTTTTTTCTACTAGGTTTATAGTTAGATTTTCTTCTACTAGGTTTTCAACTCTTATATTTAGGTTTTTGATTCATTTGAACTTAATTTTTGTATATGGAATGAAGTGTAGGGGCCCAGCCCTACCTCATG